CGGCTGGTGGAGCAGGACCCCGGCAATCTTTATCGGCTGGAGATCGAGATCCAGATCTGCGATTCGTATTGCGGCGTGAAACGCCATGTTGGCGCCGGAACTGCTTCCGGCTATGTACACCCGCTCAAAGTCGGCGAGGGCGCGCGCCGTGGGACGTGAGCCACGGATCCCGTGCAGAGGAATCGGCAGCGGCTTGGGCTCGGAGCCAGAGGATGGCATCGAGGACGTCGTTGTAGGCGGCAGGGAGGCGGTGGTCGGGTGCGAGGCGGTAGTCGAGGGAGAGAACGAGAGCGGAGAGGGATTTGGCCATTTGCTCGCAGAAAAAGTGGTAAGGGGCGGAGCCGGAGTTGAAGAGGATGAAGCCGCCGCCATGGCAGAAGAGGATGATTGGGAGCTTTTGTGGGGAGGAAGGAAGGTAGAGGCGGAGGGAGGTTTTGAAAGAAGAATTGAGGGGAACGTCTCGGGAGCGGACAAGTGCGCTGTCGATGTGGTCTGTGGGGGGGATGAAGGGGATGAAGGGGCGGCTGATGGTGCCGTCAGGGTGTTCGACGATTTGCAGGAAGAGGTTTGTGGTAACAGGTGCTGGGGAAGTTTCGTGGCCGTCGTGTCCCATCGCTTGCTGTGCGATTGCTTCCGATTCTTTGGGGCAGGACTCTAAAAGCGAGCTAGATGGCATTTTATAGTAGAAATTATTGGGTTCAAGTGTCCAATAACAGAGATTTACTTGGCAATTTAGGTCTGAATTATGTATATCAGTAGACCCAAATTGCAGTGTGACCCTCTGTTATAGGACACCTGATGCAAATTTATCTGAGTTATTTTAATTTAATAATTTCTCCAAAATTTGGCAAGTTGTGCGGACTTCGGCACAAACTACATGTGGACAACACTCAATGCATGACGAGCTCTAGAGCTTTTCTGTCTACCATTGAACTTGATAAATCCTGATATATTGTTGGGATAATTTAATGGAAAACCTCAATTTATTGATATTTTCAAATTAATCAACAAGATATTGAGAATTTGATAGAAATGAAAAATATGGATTGAATTGATGTATTTACAGCTTCACCAACAAATAATTAAGAATCTGATGTTTGAGCGAGAATTTGGAGAATGGGGGCGGTTGATTTGTAAATAATAAGTTTCAGATGACTTCATCAATTTAGTTGATTAAATAGCATGTGTTGACCAAATTTAAGCCTTTTCAAAATCTTTTTTTTTAAAGGCTTAGAAGAGAGTAATTGGTCAATTACGCTATCAGTTCCAGCTGAAATAAATTCAAGAGCTGAGAAAACAAGAAAAAAAAAACAGAGATTTTTATTCCGTTGACTAAGAAGAAATAAATACAAGGGGACAAATGAGAGAAATGAAAGGGGCTCTCAATCTCTCAAGTTCAGGTTTGAATTTTACAACGGCCCAGATATAGCGAGGAGGGCGGAGGTCCGATTCCTTCCCCCTCCGCTGCATCCGGGCCGTTATCCGGACATCCGGATGTAAAATTTTTTCTACCTCAAATCATTCTTTTGGACTTCACCTTTCTCCCCAATGCCGTTCTATCACCTTCATATTGCGAGGGCTGTATGATTCGAGCTTCAACTGCACAAAGGGGGTTTATATATTAGTATATGATATATGTAAAAAGATATTTATGTCTCTATGTAAAATTACTGTTATGCCATATAAGTAGTCTATCAATATGCACCCTTGTAACAAGATATGTAATGTGAAAAGAGTAAATAAGGATTTTCGCTTATCTTTTAAGGCTCATTATTCTTCTTCCTCACTAATCTTTATTTTCTGTATATTTCCTTTTTTTGTTTGGTTCTTCAGATGGCATCAGAGAAAAGGCTTAACATCAAGTTTGGATTCGATCTCTTCGACGTCAATACAAACAAGTCAGCAATCTACAACATCTTTAAAAAAGATAAAGGATATACATATGCCCACAATAATAAAATTCTTGATGTTCACATAAAAATCGTCAGTTTCGTCCCTTAAATACTGATAAATTTTATTCATCTGGTTTCTCGTTGGGACGAAAGTGTTTCCTTTTTTCGTTTGGTTCTTTAGATGGCATCAAAGAAAAGGCTTAACATCAAGTTGGATTCGATCTCTTCAACATCAATACAAACAAGTCAGCAATCTACAACATCTTTAAAAACGATAAAGGATATACATATGCCCACAGTAATAAAATTCTTGATGTTCGCATAAAAATCGTGGCCTCTAACACAAGAAAATTATCTTATATGGAAGGTACAAATCTTAAAACATCTTATAGTCAATGAATTTGATTCTTTTTTTGATAGAACATTTCCAACCTACCAAGTTTCATTCAAAACGCAAATGGGGCTTTAGTTGAAAATTCTTATTTTCTTCTATGGCAACTAATAGACAAAAGCCTCACAGCTACAATCATTTTCACAATTTCGCCTTCAATTCACCTATATATTCTCCATCCAAGTAATATGACTTAAATATGACATAATTTAGAATGGAGATTCCAATAAAAAAAAATAGATCAAGAGTCATTCAACTCATGAATGACCTCCACAATATTATAATAATTGGTAGAATACAAAGGATTCAAACAAGTGGCTGCTAGAAATGGTCGAAATACTAAAATCACACTTGTTGGATATGACATTCCTCGAACACCACGTAGTAAGCTTAAACTCTCACCTATCTTCTGAGTACATAAACTCTTACATAATCCTATATCTATTAATTTACAAAAGAGTCAAGTTATCTTTCATGCTAACAAGATTAAAATCCATAATTTGACAACCAAGAAAATGTCCTCTATAGAGTAGCTAATCATGGAGTCTACTTTATCACAACCCTCAACACCGTTATAAGCTAAAATATATGGCATGAAAGATTGGGCATCCACACAATAAATTCATCTCAAAGATCTCACACTTTAATTCTCAACTCAAATATATATACCTACTCAACCATGTCATGACTGTTATAACAATAAAAGTGCTATACTATCTTTTCCTTGTAGTTCTGTGACATATGGTATTTTAGACATCTTACATTCTGACATTTGGGGGCATATCCCTCTTTCTTCTATAGAAGGGTACAAATGTTATGTTACATTAAGTGATTCCTTTTTTTAGTTTTGCTCGTGGATACTCTTAAGACATAAATTCAAAACAACTACTTATTTTATTTTTCAGCATAAAATGTTAAGAAATTAACTCAATAATAACATAAAATACTTGATAACTGATGGAGGAGATTATATGTCCATTGAAATCAGAATTGATCAGCAAGATCAATGTATCAAGCATCAACACATCTGCTGACATACACCTAACCAAAATGGTATTACAAATAGGAAAAATAGTCACTTTTATAAAGATCTAGAACACTTCTCAACACTGATAACCTTCCTATAAATTTTGGATGGAAGCCATGCAATACCAATTACCTAATACATAAACTTTACTCTACCAACACTCATAAAACCACCTTTTCAGCTATTACACAACAAAATTTGAACATCAACGCCATAAAACCTTTAGTTGTCTTTGTTTTCCCTGGAAAAAAATACCAAATTAAATGCAAGCTTTTTTTCGAAGGCCCCATAATGTAAGTTTTGGGATATAGTCAACACCACAGTGGCTATAAATGTTTTGACATTCAAACTAATAAACTCCTTATCTCAAGACATAATATCATTATTGAAAATTACTTTACTTACAAACAATCTTCTTATAACTCGCAACTAGTCATAGTAATCAACATAATATGCTACCACGATCACTTCTTATACCAACATCAACTATCTCCTCCAATGTACTCTCAATTTCTACTGATCAATTTCACCATCCACACACCATAACTCATTTCCTTCATGAACTACTTAGCACCACATCAACATGAATATCGACATAATACACTCTCACACTCAGTACACATACCTCTTTTTAGAAAAATAACGTGCAAATTCATTCATCACACACATCAGCTTTACACTGTACTGTTGACATCATTTTTTATGAGGTCTAGTTCCTCCTCTTTATAATCCTAGGATCTAGCCGTAGGACTTTCCTATTGAGTATCCTAGAGGACTAGTAATAGAACCCTCTCATATAAAAATCCTAAACACTTCTTAACTCTTCCTGTGAAATCTCACATGTGTGGTCCTAAGCTCTCATTTCTCACTTGAGGTTGTTAAAACCAACATATGAAGACTCATGGGTGAGTTCCAATAGAATGTGTGAGACCTTAGGGAAACCTCGGGTGGCATGTTCTTGGTCACACACACACTCAAACCCTAAAATCACTCACACTTAACCCACGTTTATGCTCCCTTCTAGAAAGTCATGTGGGTAGTCTGAAGCCCTTAGCCTTTGGCTAGGATGGTCAGGACCAACATGTGGATGACCTAAAATGAGCTCTCCCATGGGTCTTACAACCTCAGAGGGGGGAGGGGGTTTTCAATGGTTTGCATGGTCACCATGTCCAACTAGTTCTAATTCCATTGAAACATCCCACTTTGGCCTTCTACCCCCAATATTCCCAAATTTACCAAAATGCCCCTGAAACCGTAAAATTCATATTGAACCACTTCAAATTATCCCAATTGCTCAAATACCTCTAATATCATCAAATTTACCAAAACACCCCTCACCACCCAAAATTACCCAAATGCCCCTAATTTCAAAAAAATTGCCAAAATCCCCAAAATCATTCCAAACTTCACCAAAACCAATTCTAACAACCTAATGTTCTTAATTGTACCCAAAATCCCCTAAATCCACCAAAATTGACCAAAATTCTCAAACTACCTCTAAATCCCTAAAGTCCTCAAATCACTCCCAATTTCCACCAAATTCATTTCAAATTCACCCAATTTCTAATCCAAATTAAATATCATCATATCTAAGTCCCATATCAAATCCCAATTACACGCAATTCCAAATCCAAAATCCAAGCCCAAGTCAACCACCCCAAATTGACCCCAAAACTAAATTTCACCATATTAAGCCACATAATAAATCCAAATCCACAAAAATTGTTTTAAAAACTCATCATGACATTTTTCAAGACCAATTTCAACCTTCAATAGATTTGGATCCAAGCCCAAGCCAATCCCAAATCCAAATCCAAACCCAAACCCAAACCCAACTTTTAGCCAAAGCCCATAGTTTGATCCAAATCCATTGGTTTAATCAAAAGCTTAATCACCATAACCATGTTTTAAGCCCTAATATGCCAATCATTTACAAATAGCCAACCCTACTTGATGTCATTGAACAATGGTCCCTTAAAATGTGGAAACCCCCTCCTTAATTTGGCTAACTCCCTTATCCATGCAATGAGTTGGCTTAGCTTCAAAGCTCACACCATTAAAACCCCTCTGACCTCTCTGAGCCAAATAGCCACCACCCCTAGCCTGGTCAGCCGCTCTAGTGGCCGGAAAACCCAAAACTGAGAAGGGTGGCCATGGCTCAAACCCAAATTCTCACCTATCTTATGTGGCAATTCTCAATTGGTTAATTGAGTTGTTCTCCTCTCTACCTTAGCTTATGTGCATCGGGCAGTGGCAGCCTAGAGCCCTCCCTTGGCTGGAATTATAAATAGCCCCCCTCCACAACCAAAAAGGAAGATCATCCAAAACTTAGGGGAAACTCTGTCTGATTGCTCCCAGAGCCTCTCCCAGCATTCCTAAGCTCAATCCAACCATTTTCAACCACTCATTCCCTCCACCCGAGTTCAATTTAACCACTGAAAGCCAGGGCATTTCACAGCTTTGGATTAAAATTCTCAAAACTCCAAACTAACCATTCCACAAGCTTCCCCAGACATCAAAACCACTTCCCCAATTAAAAGCCCCCCTCCCCAGCACTCTAACCTACTCCTAGACCAAGCCCGAGTCA